TTAATTGAACAAGTTGGCAGAAGGTGGCAGGTGAAGTATTATTTCGAGAGCACATTCAATTCTTTTAACCTAGCACTGAGGTTGGCAGGTTGTCAATAATGAAGTCGGATTTCGATAGTCCAGTCGAAAACGACCCTCATCGATGTGTTTATTTCTTGGTTACCTACTAAACAGTATTTACAAAACTTGTAGAACATTTGACTGACAAAGCTCTTACATCTGTGATTCATGGTGCTCTCGAAGAGGAGGAAAGTCCCGATTCAAAGGCGTGGCACTCATCGAAACTAAGAGATATTGAGGATCTCGAAGGTCCAGATCCAGCTGAAACACTTACCAAGAGACTGAGGAAAGTCAAAATAAACGTGGCAATGGAATTCGCTGATTCATCAGACCCTCCAGTGCTATGGGAAAATGTCAATGGACGCCTTGAGGATAGTGCATCAAAGAGCGTTTTGGAGTAGGAAGAGAGAGCACAAGAAGTGCAGGTCCTACAATGGCAGAGATTACTGCCAGAGTTAGGATTCCTTGAAGGATTTTTATTCTTCTAAATGTGGTGCTAGGAAATAAATAAAAATTGATTTTAAATATATTCAAATCTCTTTATATTCAATTAAATTGAAAAATGGTCCTGCCCTGTAACAATAAGCATGTAACTAAGACATTTACATTTCTTGATATGTATTTATGATTGATAAATTAGATATTAGTTAAGTTAACGGACACCCATCTAGTGGTCAACTACATCAATAAATCTAGAATTATTTGATGTCTAGTTAATTGCGAAAAGACCTTAAATATAGAGTAAAACGCTCGAAAGGTAAAGAGAAATTTAATGTATAAAATCAACCAGTCATGGGGGGAGGTAACTTTTCGGCCTTGACGGTTGTAACGGAGTCGGAGTTGAGGTGGAACAGGTGGAGGAACAATGACAATGGTGACCTACATTTAATCAACCTATGTGAATAAAAGGTGCATCAGCTATTCATTAAGTCTGGAATATTGCGACGAACACTTACCAGAATCAAAGGCATTGGAAACATTATGTATCACACGAGTTAAAGATTCTCCTAACATACAGGCGAATAGCACAAGGTCATCGAATTATAAGCTATGCATGACTTCCGTCAACTCCACTACACTGAGGGCTCCAAATAGATCTCTCTCAATCGCATGAGTGGACCCTTTGCAGAATCTAGACTTCCGGTTCAATCCCATCAAATAGAATAGCGAAGGCGTCTCGATTTGAGTTTACAATTTTCCCATTGCCTTTCCCTATCAAAAAATCTCTCTCCTTACTTTGATCGGATCGTTTAGTGGGAGAAAATCAAGGGTACCTGAAATGAATCCGGGCAACTTGGTACACCTAGTGTAAATGATAATGAATAAGTTTTATTGCACTAAATAAAGTTTGTGATATATTAGCCGAAAAATAATGAGAAGTTATTACACGAAACCCTTCATTAAAATCAGCATGTTTACATGAAACGCTTTGCGCTTTCCATTACCGCATATAGTTTGCAGAATTGTGCTTGGAGAATCATCTACTGTACTATTATGTCGGTATTCTGGCTGCGCGCTTTAAGAATGTTTTAAATGGGGTAGTTGACTCCATAGTGCAATCGCTAAATACAGGAAACATAAAGCCGAATGTCTCTACTCAAAGACAACATGCTACCTAAACATTTGTATCACCTATCTCCTCCCACCCCCAACCCTTCCCCCACTCCTATATCCCCCCCCCCAGCTCAAAAACTTTTCCAACACTGACTCCTACGGTGAATCTTTCTTCCTGCTCAACAGATTACACAATTCCATCATGAAGTCGTGTTGCATGAGATTGGAGCATATAGTGTTCTCCTGTTTGCACTCCAATTTCAATTTATCACCCTTAAATGGTAAGATGACTAAACACCAACTCCATATGGCTCAAGAAAGTCACTGCCAGTGTGCCCTAGTTTAGTGCATTACAAACAAGAGTGAAAATGTTCATTTTGTGTGCAACTGTTTTAACTCATTGGTAATTAAATGAAGTATTAATGCAAGCATTAAAGGTATTAAATAAAAAGATATTTCATGTCAATGCACAATCCAATGCATTTTATCACTAAAATTCATTGATTGGCAATCGTGGTTTGCCATTTTCCAGATGGCTAGTTTCCATTTTGCTGACATCAGTTATTGGATTCATCTGGGTAACTGGATGTCGTGAGAATGTCAAATCTTCTTCACGACAATTTACCCACAATTCGGGTATTAAATGCCATTAATACCAGCAAGACGTTCTCATTAAATTCAAGTATATTTTGATATTCAAAGATTACTATTTTCAAGATGGCTAGCATCCATGTTGTAGCCTTCAGTATGTTGGCTTGACTGTTGATATGGTTGCCTTAGGAGTGACTAGACCCCTTCACGCCTGTTCAACTACTAAGTGCTAAGTTCTATCCACACTCAAGCAATTCCTCTAATCATACTGCAAGACTCATTTTACGAAAGTGCAGTGTTATGCATGACAAGTGATCGATTCAGAGGAAAGTACTGTTTTCATTGCATTTGGCAGATACTTCTGGGAGAGCTCATTTTGTTTGAGGTTTTAGGGGTATTGAATCCACTGCACTGGTGTTCTCATCCAGGTGAGTGCTTCTTAATTCATTGTAGAAACTGGTTTTAATGAGAAAACGTGCCATAATCAATGACACGAATCCAGAGGCCGAATTAAATGGATAATATCTCATCATTAGTGCATTGCATTGATGTCCCGTTTCTAATTATTCAACCACAAATAAATAAAAGGAAATTTCTTAAGAATCCGCATTTCGGGAGTGTTACCGTCTTATTTTAAAGTGTATTTTCATATTTCGGGTCCATATTTCAAATTTAATATAAAATAATATAAGGTAAATGGCTATAGATATGAGTCGATTTGTCGACCAATTTCAAGTACATCAGAATTACGCATTTAACTTTCTGCTAGACAGAAATATAAGTTGCTTCCTACATTCAGTCAACACTCTCGCTTGGTAAAAATACTGATAATAACCGCTTCGAACTAACTGTTTTTTTCAAATTAACATGATTTGTTTTATTTTTCATTTTAAAACTGTTGTAGAAGTTCAAAATTAGCCCTTAATTGAGCAGTTCCTTGTACTAGAAGTATTTAAATATTTTGTGTGCGAATCAAGTGTTAATTTTATCCTTGTAATATAATTCTATATAACACTCGGTTTCGGCAGACATCCCTACTTAAATCATTTACATAGTACATATACAGTGCAAAATTAAATGCTGATAATAAACTGAAGATTAAGAAACTGCATTAAAATTCAGCATTAAATCAATCGATAAATATCAAGAGATTCCTGAAGTTGACACACTTTAGTAAGCCAATTTGCTTATTTAAAGGCTTATTTTTGTACTGAATGGCCAAATTTCAATTTACTACAACATACAAACAGGTTTGAAGATATTATAACAATAATTAATTATTATTTCCAAGTAGCGCGTTTGGAAGAATGAAGCTCTTTTCAGGAATCTTGACTCTGACAGTAACTCGGGTCTTTGTGGGACCTGTGATTCGGGTGCTACCTCATTCTACTTCAAAGCAGTCTTGGATCAGCTACCCTCTTGGGGACTACTGCCATTTTCCCATAGAATATTAATGAACAAATCATTAATTGCTTAAAATATTGGTTGGAATTTAAATTTAGAAAGCCGTCTTGCTTACCTAAGGTTGTATTCTGGTCTAGAGGTATGAATGTTAGTTCATTTTTGAAGTGCTGTAATAAAAAGTAAGCAATATTTTTATAATCAATTTTTTATACATTATTTATTCACCTTAGAAGCACAAAAAAATGAAAAATTAAAATATTAAAAATTCCGTTAGTTATCAGCTGATTGAGTGGGGCGTCCCGAAAATATGGTGCATGACCATACCCACGATTTTAACTCTCAACGCAATCTGAAATCAAAAAATAAAAAAGATTATTAATCTACAATAAT